TCACAAGCAAGCTGCTGGAGTTTCTCCGCCAAACTTGCCTCAACACGCCTGTACCAACCATTCACCTGGGGAACAGCTACAGCTGACCCATGACAGTGGGCAAGCGTACCCCCGTGCCCACATTAGAGTGACCCCTCTTCTTTTCAACACCGGTTTCTTTAGTATTATCTCTTACTGAAATTCATCTTCAGCTCTCGAACTTTACCAGTAGCTGGCAGAGAGAAAGGACAGCTGTAATGAAGCTTTGCTTTACTGATATTTTACCCCATGCCTGTGATGGGGCAGAGGACAACCTGCCTGCTCAGGCAGCCGACTAAATCCAAGCTCTCCCACATGGCTGTTTGCTGGGGATGGAAGAGGACTGTTCATCTTGGGTGCTGCTTGCCCAAGGAATTATTACAGAGAAGGATTACTGCAGGGTCAGGTATTATTCTTTGTCAGAAAATAACTGACTTGAAAATAACATATCCTGCTCAGGAACGTACCCATTTAAAAAAAACCTCTTAAGCCCAGCTTGGCGTTTCAAATGGTAGTTCCTCTGCCATACCAAAGGTCCCTGGTGCTCGGGGTTCTCCCTGGCTAGACCCACAGTGCCTGTCTGACCCCAGGCAGGCGTGGGGCTCTCGGCTGCTTTGAGGAAGGCCTCTCGCTTTGGATGAACACCACCAACAGTCCTGCTCTCATTCTCATGCAGAATTGGGAAGACTTAAATCTTAAAATGTTAAAGAGAGCAGAGTATCATTTACTGATTTCAGGCTTTTCTCCTGATACACACTGCAGTCAGGCTGTGAGAGCTATTCCCAGTATATCCCTGTGTTGACAAGCTCTGCCTCTGCCTAGCAGTCCTCCTGGAGGGCTGTTTTGGAGGTTCATGCACATCGTTCTCTAAAGACGTGACCCAGAGCTGCAGCTAATCTCCCTCCCATAGACGGCAGCCCCTTTTCTTCAGCTAATCTGTCCAAAACCTCTGCATCATGCAGCAACCTGCTATCTCTGTTCTATGCTCTAAACTTCTGAGAAGCAACACTAGAGAAATCAAGTCCCTCCCAGCGGCCCCATGCCTTGTAACTTGTCTTTCCCTGCTCAACATTAGTTAGCTCTTCAAATATTATAAAAGAGCAAATATGCCGTAAATGCTTGCAGCTCCTGCATATAAGACTTTCTGCTAAAAATTGGTCTTTTTATGCTCATTATGGTTCCTCACATCCAAATGAAAGAGGTGGCATTAACAGTGACTGCACCCTGTAGTAAACGATCCCAGGTATTAGTAGACATATTTCTCAGCATTTTAAAGCAATTTGTTCAAGCAGCCAAGAAGCCAGAATGGGGCTCAATATAATTAGAGGACTTGCCACTAAAATTCAACATTTCCCTGCAAAACTACATATTCATCACATTCGTTCCATGCTTCAAACACGAGGGGAAAAAGATCTCATTTTGTGGCAGACAGGTCCAGAACAGCACATTGGAGCCTCTACTGTCCAACAGCTGGACTTCTACATTATTTATAACTTCTATACATCAGCATTCTGCGTCCACATTACGCCACCTCGTTACAGCCAAAATTATCTCATTGCTATACTAAGGTACCGCTTTAACAGATGATAGTCTTTTAATCCTAAATTACTCTGGAAACCACAACATATATCTTACCTGTCTGAAAGAATTGCCTTTTTGTTTTATTGTATATTGGCTTACCTGAAAGAACTGGTTTTTGTATTTTATTTATTCTTACAGTATTTTTGATCCTTAAAGTGGTAAATCAAAATGTTAATCTCTAGTTAATCTCTAAATCTATTTCAATTAAGTCTGAAAAGCAGCATGACCTACATCCTTTTCTAGTCAGAAGTAGGCTCAGATATACTCAAGAGGGTCTTCTTCAAGGGTGGAGGAGTTCTCACTCTTCCAGAGACTTCATATGTTACATGAAGAAGCAACAGAACAGTTTTTTTTAAGAAAAGGAAACGCTATCATAAAAACAACTTAAATTGCCAAGCCTCCACCCACTCCTTCCTCAGACAAGGGCACCACGCATCTCTCAGCCATCCCCTTCTAAGTAGGTTGCAGAGCCACTTCCCATGGCTGTATCACAGAGAACAATGCGTACTCCTGCCCTGAAAAAGGCAGGGAGAAAACAGTCAGCCTCCTGTGCTTCTTAGGACAGCTCCTTAGTAGAAAAACAAGGATTTCCGATTTGCTCAGAGATCTAGCGATGCATTGAACAAATTCCTCAAATGTCTGAAACATTAACAAAGAACAGGACAGGACAGGACAGGACAGAATAGAATAGAATAGAATAGAATAGAATATTCCAGTTGGAAGGGACCTACAAGTTGGACCGTCTAGTCCAACTGCCTGACCGCTTCAGGGGTGACCAAAAGTTAAAGCATGTTATTAAGGGCATTGCCCAAACGCCTCTTGAACACTGACAGGCATGGGGCATTGACCACCTCTCCAGCACGCTGGTTCCAGGGTTTGACCACCGTCTCGGTAAAGAAATGCTTCCTAATGTCAAGTCTGAACCTTCCTTGAGGAGCCTTGGTAAAATTATTTTTTGGCTCGTTCATGACCATGGACACATACTTTAGTTCACATGCACGCAGCAATATACAGAATCTTTCCTCTGGGCTTGCTTGCCCTCAGTTTTGTTGCTTTTTTCCAACCATGCCGCATGCCTTTATTTATTTCCTCAGACAATCAACGCTATAACAGCTCCACCACTACAGCGACACACGGTTAGAGATTTCCTCCAAGCATAGGCTGCCAACATGTCCACGGCATGTTAAATGGAGAAAGGTACCGCCAAAATAACCCACATAGAGAACAAGTCCTTTCATGCTGGTCTTCCCAGCATAAGCCAGTTTCGTGTTTGCACCTCCCCAGGGATTTGCCTACACTGCCCTGCTGTTCCCAGTAAGCCGGATGAGCACAGGATGATGACACTTAGCCTCATTCGCTAGACACAAAAAATACATCCTGCAAGTGAAACACAGAGCTGACAGCTCATTTGTTGTCTTCAAGAGTTGACAGGAAATACGTTAGCAGAATTCCCGCATCTCATCCTGCGCATATATCCGTTTAACAGAATTAGACAGTAGAAATTAGCATCTTTTACTAACCTTGAATAAATAGATTTTATTTGAGGGAATAAAGGGAACAAGGTGCACATCAATGAAGGGTCACACCTCCTGTTCATATAGCAATTCCAAGACAGTTTTATTTAGAGTCTGTTGCAGCTTCAATGTCATTTCCATCTCTGATTAGAAGCAGTGTCTGTTCTCCACGGGCGAAACGGCTAGACTTTTAGCTCTGGGGTGCACAGACTAACACACCTGCTCTCCTAGCTGATTTTTGCTCTGGCTGGTGATCATATCACCTCTGCATGGTGGAAATAAAGTAGACCTTGATTAATAGTGGACCTCATGCATCAGGAGGTGGCTATGTGCACCAGGATTTAACACATCATGTGTATTGTTGAATGTAGGAAAAAAAGAGCTCACAGGCTTTCCTCCTCCTGCCCTCTGCAATTCCCCACTGAAGTTTATACATTCTCCAATTTTCTAAAGAAGTAATAAACTTGATTTCTGGCCCCAGAGAAGCTGCTTAACCTGAGGAATTGTACAGTCCCTGCTACTTTCAGTTAAGAAAAGGTGTACAGAATTTGGTAAACATAATACAGCAGCTTCTGCTCCATGGAGTGGTGCAGATAAGAACGCAGAAGGATCTCGAGGCTCCAGCAGAGCACTAACCTCTGTTTGCAGCCCTTTGTCAGTTTATCCCTGTTATTTTAGAAGCAGATTACACTTATGGAAAACATTGACATCATAGCAGATTGAAGTTGCCCAAAATTAAAAATTGCATCCTGAGTCTTCTAAAAACTGTTTAGGTTATAATCAGCATTTAATTAGCTTTATACATCTTTCTGAAATCACCCAAAGCTAGGAATTGATTTAGCAGCCATCAGATTTTTGTGCAAGTGCTCCATTTGAATATAATTTCCAGCTGTGCCATGGCATGGAAGTAGGTTTATAATCTGCATAAAACTGTTTTCTGCAGGTAACCACTAGAAATCACAGATACTGCTGTACATAAAAGCTGTACAAGTGAGCAGTGAATTAAAAGAAAACAAGGATTGTGCTATATGTTATCGTACATGACGATGAAGCAGAACCCAAAGGATATAAAAGACACGGTGCGGTGTGTTTATACGAATGGTAATAGCGAAACAGCGATTAGAATTTAACATATATTAATTTTTCTGTTTTTCTTTTGTTGCCAACTACACAGCCAGCATAACACATCCGGACACACTCAGAGGTGGTTTTGGACTGACACAAAAATGACCTACGCTCATCATCCATGCATCCACAGTACGCTATTTCAGCATGGACATTTTTTTGGACTCCCCCAAGGTCGGGGTTCCCACTCTGTGGGCATTCACGCTGCCTTGCAGATGAGGATCTCAATGTGTTTGCCCCGTGCACCCTGATAACAAAATGACATTTCTCAAGAGAGCTTTCGTGGTCACCATGGGATAAAGGGTAATATTTGATGCTCACCTTGAGCAGTACCACAGCCCCAGATGTCCCTGGCTGCCTCCTCTCCTAAGGCTCTTAGGCAAGCTGGCACCTTGATATCACTGACCAATAGAGAGTAGTGACTTTCTTGCTGCAGTTTAGCATCAATTTAACAAAGCCAATTAAAAACCTCTCTCCAGTTAATCTGGTGCAAGCTCCCCTGCAGACCAGGCTTAACTGAGCACTACAGGGGATAGACAAAAGAAGCTGTAAGGAGGGAGATCATGCTCAGCTTCTCTGCTGTCTCACCTTTTGGCAACATTAATTCCCCACAAGATGACCAAGTTCAAGGACAAGCCTGGACAATCCACTGGCATCACGTCCTCTTCAGGGGCATCGCTTTAAAATGCATTTTCAAGGAATCCTCTTCCTAAAATTTGTTCAACAAGCTCATTCAAACCCACTACATTTTAATAGCCTTACCTGTAGAAGCCTTGATTGTCATATGCCGTGTTAGTCGCATCATCAAATACGGATTTATTCCTGAGTTTCTTATTGTTGTTGTTATTGTTTCTTCCCTTAAAACCAAAGTAAGCAGCTTGCATGTGCTCTAGTTCTTCAGTTCTGAGCTGGTACCACAGCTGCATATCTCTGTGAATAAAGAAAGGGGTAAAATACATTACTGTGATAAACAGCTGTATATCTGAACTTTTATCTGACCACAGCCCTGATTCACTGGAGTTTAAATCTAAATCCAGGTTTACTGAAGACAGCACTTAAAACACATGCTGACCTTCAAGTGTAAGCCAAATTTCCAGAAACTTAAATGCCTGCTCAAATACCTTAAGGTATATGGGGAGATTCTTAAACAGTATAAACATTATTCTGTAAAATAGTGTTATTTTAAGTATTATCCAGCACTCCTCAAAAAACAAGCAAGCAAACAAACAAAAAGAGCAATTTTCTTATGAGCACCTGTGGGTAGTTCAAAGGAACAAAACCCCAATAACTATGTCAATTTGATTCAGTGGATTTTGAGACTACAGGTAATAGGGAAAGTCACTTAAGGTGTGATGTTGTGTTAATGTTCACATGGACCTTCATCAGTGACACACGTCAGGCCAGAGCCCGTTGTATGTGAAAAGACTACAAACCATCCCCATTTTATGCAATAAATTATTTCAGAAAAAAAAGTATTTTCTGTGAATTTTTGCAGCACTGCCATTCCTAAGGGTTCAAAAATCACCAGGCAGGTTGAAAAGATGAATTGACTTAAAAATGGTGGAGACAGGTAATGTTGTCTAAAAGCAGGGCTTATTCAGTTGCCCTCAGGATTTCCTTTTGGAAATGCTCAAGGTGCTTTTCATGCTGCTCTCTACAACTCAGGGACAAAAAAAAACCCCCACAATTTCTTCTTCTGTTTTTAAAAGAAGCCTAAGATTCACATAATCACAGACATTCACACTAGCCGATGGGACAAGATTAAATTGTGAGGGCTGGCGATGCTGATTTTGGTGACATTTCTGTCCTCTCAGGATGCAATCCTGCTCCTACCAAAGAAAATGGCGGCTACACTCACGCAGTGGGACAAGGTCTGTGAGAAGGCTAAATTACATAAGCATTTCCAGCAGTCTTTGTCCTTTTTCTCTCCAAATGCAAGGATAAAACACAAGATGGCACTTCAAAGACCATCAGATACCTTGCAAGAGAGGCTGGTAGGCAGAGGCGATCTCTTCTAGTAGACCAAATAAAAGAGCCAAAAAAAAGTGACAGGCAGACCTCAAAGCTGAAAGCAAGATGAGGACATCTTCCCTACCCCACAGGTACAGACTAACTTTTCTTTCAGAGGTGCTCTAAGAGGCACTTGTTCAACTAATCCCCTACCAAGTATTCTCATTTTGTCCTAAGTTATCCAACCTGCAGCTTCTCTTCATATTAATGCTTTGTGCATCCTAACGTCGATCAATGTTTTCCACCTACGTCAACAAAAGAGGGGCTACCACCGCACCTGGCACTCGGCAGCACAGGCTGTGGGTCGAGCAAGTTTCACACAGGGATGCGTTACTCTTGCTCGCGTGACATGGATGGTTTCTACATCATCTCACTTGCTTTCTGACAGCGGGACCAAGCTACACAATGGCTACAGTGCCGCCAGGTTCCCCTCCTCAGGAGTGGGGCTCAGTCGTGGACAGGCAAGGTTGGAGCAGCTCCTTCAGGAGAGAGTGCAGGGAGGACGGAGGGCAGCAGGGAACTGAGAAGCTCCCAGCAAAGGGAATCACTTTATGTCCTGATGACAGAACCAGGTCAAAATGTCCAGTGTGAAGGGCTTTCCTTCTTAAAAGAAAAATATCAAGTCATTAAAGTCATGTGAACAGTTAATTTTGACAAAACTTCATTTAAGATAAATGAAAAACAGGACTTTGATATGAATAACCTTATCAAAAAGAAAAGCGGCAATTCCAAAAATGCCAATCAATCCTTTCATTTCAGAAATTATTTTATGCTACCAGTGAAAACCTAGTATTATGAATGATACCAAAGACTTTCTTTTTTGCCTCACAAAATCCTTTCAAGGGAAACAGAAAATCTGGATTTTGGTTACAATCAGATTTTGAAAGAACAGAATGTCACCCCTAAGCTGGTTCCCACGCAGCTCTAGATAAAACACAGCTCAGAGCAGAGAGACCTTTACTCGTGTCCTCCCCAGTCTCCCTCCACTCCACCGCTACCCTGCCTCACTCCAAATACTTATTTGAAGCAAGAAGAGGTTTAAAAGCAACCCGAAGTGCAGCTAACTGTCTGCTGAGCAGGCATCAGCAGGATGGGATGCAGTCACCCCGCTGAGCTATGTGCAATGGTGGGAACAACGAGCTGGAAAAGCGAGAGGGAAAGGAAGAAGAGGTGCCCATGGAAAGCCCTCTGCAGCAGGTGGCTTTGGATGCATGCTCTCACGAACAACAGTGGCTCGCCTGTTAGCGTACAGCCAGATGTGGTCATGCAGCCACCCTTCATGCTGAGTTTTTGTAATGGACTGCATTGGTAAATTCTACTTCTTCCCATGCCTGTTTATAATCCTGCCCACTGACTTGTGTTTCAAGCCAGAAGACAAAATCCTACATCATTCCAGCACAGCGCTGTGACAGCTTTAAGTACGTTTTGCAGATGGTGAGGGCTTTGATGGTTTTGACACGCGTAGATTAATTTTCCCGGTAGCGTTCAAGGAAAGCAAAGGAAAAAAGGAAAGTGAGAGAGAAGAAGGGAAAAGGCAGCCAATCTTAAATAATTCAAGGAGGGAAAGACTGGGCCAGCAAGTAAGGCTTGTATGTTCAGTTTCTGCACAATCCTGGGTAAATCCAGATCTGCCCAGGCCCGCTGAGGTCATCTGATATTAACAGACATTAGGTGCCTAAATACTCAAGAATTCCAAGTCTTTCTATGCCTAAAGCCTGACCTACCAATTAAGAATTTTAAGTAATTAACATCATTGTGGTGTTGCAAGCATCAAGTCCTTTGAAGCTCTCTGCTATCACAGCAATGGGGTCCATATGAGGTACAGTCTTATGCTGGTTTTAAAAATCTTTTCTTGACATACCTTTGAGTCCTCCTCCTTTCACTTTTCTTCACACACTTGGTAAGATAACAAGTTAAAAAAGCCATTGACATCAGCAGAATGATGGCACAGCTCACGATGGAGGCAATCACTGCGACCTTAAATCCAAAAGTCTCATATTTTGATATGGCTGCAGCAAAGCAAACACAGAAGCATGTTTCTAAGGTCAACCCATTAATTTATCTTTCACATTTTCATTTAACCATGCTGAAAACTACTTGCTTCACACTTCTGCTAATAATACCTCAATGAGGACATTCACATTAGCATGTGTCAAGATACCAGAGTATCGTGGCTTCAGCTTAGAGCTACGCAAGCCTCAATTTAGGCTATTTAAAAATCTCCTGTTTATAAGGTACTAATGAATTGTTCACAAGCATTTCATCACTGTAATTAATTAAATTCAATGCCTTTAGCACTGCCATAGCTAAAAAGCACAACTTTGTCAGCATATCAAATGCAGATGAGCCAGCAGACTCTTATAAGCAATTGTTAACAAGGCCGAGAGCTGCAAAAACAAATACTGACAGAGGTAAATGGGTTTAAAGAAGCCCTTTAGAGCAAGGACAGTTCCATATAATTATACCCTACTTGGCAAGCAGTGAGCAACAAGTCTTCCTCTGTTTGGGGAAGGATACACGATGGGAGAAGGGACAGTATCTGCAGGGCTGAGTGTTCACAGTAATCTGATGCTGGAAGTGAATTATCCAGAGAAAAGGAGGAGCAGGAAT